ATATATATATATATATTTATTTATTTATTTATTTATTTATTTATTTATTTATTTATTTATTTATTTATTTTTATGTATATATATATATATTCACGGGGTTTTTCTTTGATTAATTTTTTGTTTTTTTGTGAATTCCGTCGCCAATTTTATGATTTCTTTGGGCCCTAAATGTGGGTTTTGTTGCATTAGCATTTGCACTGTCTCTATATCAGGTTTATACTGCTGCTGCTGCTCCTGCTGCTGCTGCTGCTGCTGCTGCTGCTGCTCCTGCTCCTGCTGCTGCTGGGGGATGGGTGCTTCTGCTTCTCTTTTTTTGCTGCTGCTTTGACGCCCCAAGAGAGACAGATCATCCTCCTCCTTCACTAGTATCGATTGGCTGGCTCTTGCAGCAGCAGCAGCAGCTGCTGCTGTTGCTGCTGCTGCATCTGCTGCTGCATTTGCTGCTGCACCCGTATCCTGCTGCAGCCTGTCTTCGCTGTACTCTGCTGCAGCAACGCTCCCCCTGCTCTGTCTCCGCATGAGCTGCGTAGCTGTTTCAAGGAGATGGTCTAGGTATGCTGCTAGCGCGGGCGCATCTGTTTCTTTTATTTCTTGTCTGTATACATCTAAGCTCTGAAGCAATTGACGAATGTTTTTATTAAATTCAAATATTTGTTGTTTATTTTCTTCTTTTTTTATCGCTTCCTGCAAATCCTGAAGCTGCTGATCTGCTGCCTCCAGCTGTGCTGTTATATGAGAACGACGGATAGCAGCAGCCTGCCGCATCGCCAGTGTTTTTTTTCTTTCTCTTCTTGAAGAAATAAAAGAAAAAAGTTCTTTAAAAAGTAATATGCATGCAGAAGCGAGGAACAAAGCCATGCCGTTCACTGCAACATCTCCCCAGAACCCTCGGGGCTGTATTTTTGCTTCATGAAAATCAATCGGTATTTCAGAAATTAAACCATTTTCATCAACTATTTTTAATTTTATTCCTGGAGTTTCCTCTCTTTTTCCTAAATAAACATAGTCGTCGTCATGCTGAACAGCTTTCCCTGCCGATGCAGAAGCTGCCGATACACCCTGGGGTGTATAGGCAGCTCCCGGATCTTCCAACGCCACCACCGCCGGTGCTGAAACATCCGCGGCAAAAACTTTTTTTTCTTGGAAAGCGCATGGTAACCCAACGAAAAAAAAGAGAAAAATAGAGTGAAATACTTCAGGCAACATTATTAAAACGCAGTTTCTCTTTTTCTGTTCCTTTAACCCGAGAAATATCTGAACTTACGAGCGGCGGAGAGCCGGTGGTGACTCAGATCATTGCAAAAGAAGAAAACAACGAAACCCAGATTTTCATGATTTTGTTCAACACATCATCAGCATCTCGTCGATACATAAAAAAAGACAAAAGACCGCAGAAACGTGCACGGCTCCCTGCCCCGCCAGCTCGGAAAGAAAACTCTAACAAAAGAAGGAGAAGTAAAAAAAAAGAAACTTGGAAGTTTTAGCTGAAAATATATAATTAAAGAAGAAATCAAGAAAACGCAGAAACTGCTGCTGCTGCTGCAGCAGCGTCTCGATGGCTTCCTCTGAACCACAGAAATTCAACAAATTTATGGCGTCTTCTGCTGCAACTGGAGTGACACAGAAGAAAATAAAAATAAAATTAAATAATTTATTTATTTATTATTTACTAAAATATTAAAAATACGCAATTAACAAACAAAAGAATAAAAATATAAATGCAACTGCAGCAGGCCGCAGAAACACCAACAGCTAACAACACAGCCCAGTGGCATGCAAGCTGTATCGACGGGGCTCCGAAACTCAGCTCAAAACCAGAAAAAAAAAAGAAATAAAAAAAAGAAAAAAGATAAAATAAATACATTTAAATATATATATTTAATTACTTTTTATATTTTAATTTATTTATATATTTATTTTTTTTTCTTTTTTCTGTTTTTTCATGCAGAAACTAGCAACATAGAATACCAGGCCGGTAGTTCAGTTGGATAGAATGCCCGGCTACGGACCGGGTGGTCGTGGGTTCGAATCCTGCTCGGCCTAATTTTATATATTTCTTTTTATTTTTATTTTTTAATTATATAATATAATTATTATAATATAATTATAATTATAAATATAATTATAAAATAATTAAAAAAATAAAAAATATATTCAGCTGTATAGACATCAACTAGCACCGGTATTTCATTTCACCCTCTCTCTAGCAACAGCAGAACGCTTATATATATTATTTATTTTTGTTTATCTTTTTTTGTTTTTTTTTTATTTATTTTTTGTTATTTTTTGTTTAATTATATCATTAACTTTATTTAATTCTTAAATTCAATTTATATAAACAAAAACAAAACAAACAAAAACAGCAGCATCGGCCTCCTGCTGCAGCAGCAGCAGCAGCAGCCTGCTGCAT